AGAAAAATGATGTGGGAAACGATGCTCTAAAACACAACGATACAATCAGAATTCAGTTGAAAAAATGGACTTTATTGAGTATGAGGTTTGATACAAATGATAATCGAGATCCAGAATAACAAAGAGAGATCGAAACTATAAACGAACTAAATGCTAAGAAATGTGGTCGATGAGACTAGTGGTTAGCTCTAGGGTATTTTGTGTGTGTTATGGCTCTCTTTTTATAGTCTCTTTCTTGACCGATTCTCTACAACCATCACCACGATATTCGGGATACTGGTTCGACCTCGCCGGGCTCGGTATGGGTCGAATTGATTGATGATAGAGCATGGGCCTGGCTAGTTCTCCACTGAAATTGGGTCCAACAATGGTGGGGACATTCAAGTTGGTAACTCTTCAGTCTTCCCCAGACCTTTCTGAACGATTCTCGTGGATTTTGATGGAAGGTAGAAATTTTCTCCCTCAAATCCCCGTAGAACGCATCATCGAAAAATGTTTAAGGAAAGCATCTCTAATTCATTTCCGGTAGGTAAGGGATCCTGCTGGTAATCAATTTAGCCATTTCCTAGCTTCTCCTTCTAAAGAGAATGAGAAGAGTTTACAACGATTGTACTCATCTGAAATTAAATCTTCTAAATTTTTGATGTGGTCTTGCGATCCTCTGAGATGGATCCACAGAAGGAGTTTTGACGTACCATAATATAATAATCAGAGTTAAGCTCAGATATCTTGGTATCATCCTATGGTATCTTAATAGCGGACCTATTGGAATAGGTCCTACCAGGGATTAAGTAGTCTTGCAAGGATAATTTTATTTCTTCACCTTTATTCAAGGTGGAATTGATTATAACATGGATTTCAGTCCCCTGTTTATCTTTAGTTTGGCTAATTGCATTGCCTATTTGACATATTGTTTCAATTTGGACTACTTTCTCATTAACAAGTGTGGTAAGTGAAGACTTACCTGCTTTCGGCGGGGGTGTTGTCGATCAATGCTTGCGGTTGTATGTCGATCGATTTCGTTGTCAACATGTCGCTCGATTCCATCGCTTCTGCGTCGATCGATGCTCGCCCGAAAATTACGTTCTCCATTCTTAAGTACCTGTGTAAGAAGGGAAAGAAAGAAAACTTAGGAACTTTTAATAAGAAATTCTAAACTATATCCTAAACTAAATCTAATGGTAATAAGAAAGAGTCCCCGGTAGCGGCGCCAAATTTGATATCATTTAAATTACCCTAAGGAGTGAATTACTCTCTCAAATAAGAGGTTCAGTTGTAGTACTTAGGGATCGAATCCACAGAGACTCTAGGATTACACAATAGATTTATAGTATTTAAAATAAAGCTAGACTGGAAATCGGTTTAATGGCTTAAAACAGTAAATAAATGAAACGAACAAGGTAGTTATTCGGTAGCTTGATTTGAAGTGGTTATTAGTTGGGAAAATAGCTATACTTATGTATTATCTCAGGTATGAAAAGTATGTAAATTGATTTTGACTTAAGGGGTTTAATTGTTCATGAAATCAAACTTATAAGTGAAACCAATTAGGTTTCCTTTGTCCAGTTATCTTTAAACTTTAAAAATGAATTCATTATCTCAACAATCGTTTATTGATCATGGGAAGTGTCGATCGATTTGTCTTTAAGGACATCGATCGATACACCTTGCAAGATATCAATCGACACAACGATAGTCATGTCGATCGACGGCTCTTCTAGCAAGCTTTGCGAGTGGGTTAGTGTTGTTATCTAACTCACTAGACCAACTTTCGTATTATTCTAGTCAGTTGAATCAAACTAGCTAGGTTCTGATATTGAGGAAACTAATGCTTATCTCAATTAATCCTAAGATCTAAATTTAAGGGTGATCAATCCTAAATTTAGTATTAAGTATAACTAAGTTGAAGAACTAAATTAAAACACCTTAACAATAGTCATAATATCAATACATGAAACAACCTTATGAGAAACCTAATTCTAACAATGAGATTATTCAGACATATTCATATGAGACAAGGTTATGATGATATGAATAAAACTCATATGTAAACAAGAAACAAAGTAAAATAAGAGTAATAGAATCAAGGAAGTTCAAGATCTTCTCTGTTTTGTAGTATCAGATTTGTCACTCTATTATCCTAAGCTCTCTCTCTTTAATAGTAAAAAAGTTGCTCTTCTTCAAACTAGGTTTAGAAGGTCTCTAGGAAAGCCTGCCTCTAAAATGGTACAAAACCCTAATAATATAGCCTAGAGACGGCCAGGTACTTAAGATGTAATTAATGGAACTTCTGTGAAACTTGAAGTCTTCTAATTTATAATTAAGTCTCGGATGGCTTTGGTGTCGATCAGTGGCAATGGCTTGTGTCGATCGATTATAATTGGTGATCATCGATCGATATGGCTCTTCAAGTGTCAATCGATTCTTCATCTCGTCAGAAGCTCTCTTAAAGTCTCCAAAATGTCTCAAGAAACACCATTTTCTAAAAATAAGTGCCAGAACATGTAATTGCTCTAAAAAAAATCCAAAAGCTTATAACACACTTAAAATATATCTAGATCATGGTTGAAAATAAGTAAATTTCATGACCTATCACAGGTTCAATCTTTGGAGATTCTGAGCTCCCAATAAGCCCGACAATTCGTTAAAATTGACTGAGTGGCTGAGATCGACCGATGTTGATTTTGATGTATCCTATCATGAAAACAAATTGGACAAACAGTTAGAATCAGAAAGAAAGAACTTGCAATCTCATCATATATATTAAGTGTGATGCCATCCATACCTTGACACCGTCCCACAGCCGTTTAATCATGCTATAAGACAGCTTGAGGTCAACAAGATTTTTAGGGTTGAAATCTTGAGGGAGTTCTTCCCCTGGGAATCTCAGCCAGTGGAGATACCTGATATTTTGTAACGGTAACTTAAATCCATTGGAAAAGTGTAACTTGTAGCCAGTTTCATTTTTTTGAGGAAAACGAGAGTCGTAAATTTTGAGATATTGAAGATTGTCCATCCCATCAAAAGCTTCTTTGCTTAATGTTGTGTCAGAGCCTACTTCAGACATGTCCAAAAACATACTTCTGATACCATTGATAATGCTTTTCCCCTGTACACCAGTTCAAGGGGACAAGTTAGCAAAACGGATTTAAGTTTCAAATTATTTTTGAATACCAGGAGGTTCGGACCCCAAACCCGTAATATTAGTTATGTCCCAGTGGTAACTCGAACCGTGGATCTTTGGTTAGGTTTTAAGATTAATTGGTCCTTACCATTTTTTTCTTTAACGATTGGATAATTTTATGATGGTTACAGAGTCTTTTTTTGTTGTTTAGAAACCGACAGTGTGAATTTTGGTTCCCACAATCATGTTGAAACCAACTGCCTTAGACATACTAATTTGGACAGATTTCCCGCATCACAATCGTAGATAATCGTCGAATGGGCAGAACTGGGCTTCTTGGTGGAGTATCAGACTTCAGAACTCAACTACACTTTAAATCGCCCACTCTCTTTCTCTCACTCTTTCTCTCCAGCCACCTTTTTGAAGTGCTTTGGTGTGTAATGGAATGTGTGAAACTGAAGGGAGGCATTGCTATTTAATTAAAGAAGTTGTTGGCCATTGAGGAGAGACCACACGATCGACTATGTATCAGCCCACATGCTTCCGGTCGCATGTGCGGTGACACACAGTGCACACTTGTCTTACTGCATGACTCAGTCGCATGCGCAATGACTCACACCACGTCCACATGGCTCTCTGCATGCACTGATTGCATGCGCTGCGACACACCGCTCCTACATGCGTGGCGACACCTCGTGCTTCGACATATCAAACCGCATGTACTGATATCATGCATACCTTGTGCTTCCCTTGCCGCATACCCTTCCAGACGTTGCCACCACGTTCTGATCCCATGCATCGGTTCACCTCGTGCTTCTCGGTCCATTCGTCTGATTCCAACCACTCTGGCATATTTTTGGCCCGTTATCCGTCTAAATATTCTTCTATGCATGTTCTAATTCCCTCAATATTTTTAAAAAATTGCAGACTGAATACTAAACTTGAAGGTAGATATTTCTCGATCATCCGACTTCCCTAAAAATATTCCATAATACTAAAATTAGATTTTTCGCCTAACATCATATTTTTACGTCGTGTTTATTTTCCTTCCTACTTCCAACGTATTGTGTTTTGAACATAATATTTTGCTGAACGACATTCTTTCAAAACCGTCGTGCTTTGGAGATGTCGTGCTTCTAGAACGTCATGCTTCCAAAATGCCGTGCTTCCAACTATCCATGTCCTCATGTGAAAAAAATATTTAGGTTGAGCCTCTTGTTTTGAAAAATAATGCTGAAGTGATCCAAATACTTTTCATCGATCGGAAACTCGCCGATCGATCTATCTGATTGCCCATGATTCGACCACCAAACATAGATGCTCGACCACCTTCTATTTTGTCTGAAACCATGTCAAGTTTTTCATGATCAAAACTTAACATATCTCAAGATACTTTGATTCCCAAAAGCTTGACTTTGAATTCCAACTTCTCGATCTCAACCATTTTACCCCTTCTACAGTGTCTCTATTGTAACTTGGTCATTAAATATACAAATCCTTTTATTACTTTTCTGAGTTCTTAAGAATCAATACTTTATCTGACTCCTTGATCCTATTGAAAAGATGTGTTAAATCTTCACCCTTTTTCTCCTGCTTGTCTTTAAAGAAGTTCATTCATTCTGCTTCCAAAAGATGGCTGATAAAGTTTTTGTTTTTAGCAGCTCATCTTCGTGGAAACTGATGAGAACATGATGTTGTGTTGGACACAGTACTTTCAGGTCTATGGGAGAGTTAAGTTAGATATCTTTTACCAGAGGATAAAGAACTAAAGAAAAGGAATGTGGTTTATTATGGAGAGGCTAAGCTTCTAAACTCAAAGCTTAGCTCTCCATGTGGTAAGTCTCTGTAGTTTTACAAAAAAGCCAAATATAATATTAATTTGTTTGAGGAAAGTAGACACAAGAAAATAATATGAGGGAAAACATTTCACTACATTTCAATATTAATCTCCATCGTTGTTTCTCTTTTTAATAATACAAAAGATTATTACAGAGAATAATGAAAAAAATCGCAGTCTTCATCTCTTTGTCTTTCCCATGATAAGAGCAGCTCCAGCAGAAATGGAGAGGATAAGCCAAAGAAACCTAACAGGTTTCATCTGCACACTTGTGTTTTCTGTGACACTACCAGATTCCTCCTGCGCATAGCTATCCTCTTGGTATTCTGAAGATAAGCAAGAGTTTGTTTCATCTTGTTTATGAATCTCTGATTCGTCACTTTCCTCTGAATCCTGAGACAACATTGATACATCATCTATCGAGATTGTATCTCCTTCTTGGTTGATCTCTTCCATCCTTTGAGATTCATCAATTAGTTCGCCATCGTCTGGCAACATCAACACACCAATGGTATTATTATTATTATTATTACCTATTATGGAACTTGTTTCTCTTTGTTGGCTCATATCTTGCATCCTCAAAGCTTCTTCTTTAACAATCATCATCCCGCTCTCTTCTTGATCAGCAGATACACCATCAGTGCTGTTATTACTCATTGATCTTGTTTCTCCTTGTTGGTTGATCACTTCCATCTTTGAAGCTTCACCTTGGTTGCTGTTATCACCCATCCTTGGACCGGTGTGAATAGAGTTCACCTCCCAAGAAACACTTTCAGCCTCATCAGATTCATTGACCAAACTGAAACCACACTTAATCACCTGACAATTCTTCACCAGCTCGCCTTTACTATCTATCACTTCAAATCTAAGAGAAGCCTGATCATCATCACTACAACTATAATCCTTTTTACCATCCTCTGCTTCCTTTTCTTTGATCTGCAACCACCTCGAGTATCCAATAAACACATGGTCTGATTTGATCTTCAGCGGCTGATTTCCTCCTACTGTGCAACTAAACTGCCTCAAAGACCCATCTGCAGTCTTGAATTCACAGATGCATTTCACAAGTACATGATGGTTTTGATCTTGGTAATCAGTAAACGAGACAACTGCACATAGAACTACACCAGTGCTCCTATTGTTTCTCCAGTGTCGTGACAGTTCTGGTAGTACTATCACTGATCCATAGGCTTGGTGACTCAACCATGCATGTACTTCACATCCAGGAAAGCATGCTCCAACAAAAGATTCCACAACAGAGCCCTGCAAAAGGTTATATAATACATTAATAAAAATCTCAAAACTAAAGTGTTTTCTTTTTCTAATTTAGAGAAGAAAATTGGAGGGAGAGAGAAACCAAATTGTAGCGATCAAGAGCATCTGACATCAACTGGCTCTTCTTCTGAATGTACGAAACAATACAAGTTTTTGCATCTTCATCCAGTTTGTTGCAGTTTGAGAAAATGAGTGTGGCATGGATTTGATCTGTTAGAACAAGATGGGCAAGTGGGTTTCCCAATGTTGTCAGTGACTCACAGCCATGTGCATTTAAGCATTGAAGGTTTGGTGGGAGTGTCGGGACAGATACAAGGTTCTTGCAGAACTTCAAGTCAATATATTTTAGATGGTAAAGATCACCAATGTCAGGTTGCAGGCTTTGGATGTAATCATTTCCTCTTAAGCTGAGGTGTCTCAACAAGGGGAAGCCTTTGGCACCACCATGGTGTGGCCATCTTGAAGGGCCAGGGTTTTGCAATAGCTTTGGCACCTCTTTTATTGATGTTCCATCAAGCAGAAATATCCTCAACCGTCTCATGTTCTCTTGCAGATCAGGAAAGTTCTCCAGCTTCTTACAGCCTGAGAGTATTACTTCTTGAAGAGCTTTCATATTTCCAAGACAATCGGGCAAGGTCGCTAGCTTTGTGCAGTCCTTGAGATTCAACAAAACTAGTTTTTGGAGCTTGATCATCGATGGAGGAAGTGCCTTTAAGGATGTTCCATCTAAGTATAATGCTTCTAGCTGTTCTGATATTACCTGAAATTACACTCAATGTGAGAAAAATGTTTTTTGATGAATAAAACATTTAAACAGTTTGTAAAAAAAAAATATCTATATATATAAATATATTACTTGAAACTCCTCGAGATTGGAGCATTCACTGAGGATGAGTGTTTTTAGAGACTCCATATTCATATCTGTCAATGATACAAGACCTGAGCAGCCTCTCAGATTCAGGAAAACAAGGCTTGTCAAGTTTTCCATCCTCGCGTCTAATACTTTAAGCTGTGCGCAGCCTTCTAGGTTCAATCTTTGAAGATTTTGAGCTCCAAATAAGCCCGACAAGTCGTTAAGGTCGATTGAGTGGCTGAGATCGACCCATGTTAAGTTTGATGTTTCCTATCATGAAAACAGATCAGACAAAATAGTCAGAATCAGACAGAAAGATCATGTGAGCGTGGTACCTTAACACCATCCCAAAGCCGTTTAATCTTGCTGTAAGGCAGCTTGAGGTCAACAAGATTCTTTGGGTTAAAGTCTTGTGGAAGATCTTCCCCTGGGAATCTCAGCCAATGGAGATACCTGATTTTTTGTAACGGTAACTTAACTCCATTTGAGAAGTTTAATTTGTTGCCAGCAGCTTCATATCCTTGAGGAAAACGAGAGTCATAGATTCTGAGGTATCGGAGACTGTCCATCCCATCAAAAGCCTCTTTGCTTAATGCTGTGTCTTTCCCTACTTCAGACATGTCCAAAAACATACCTCTGATACCACTTATAGTGTTTTTCCCCTGTAAACCAGTTCAAGAAGACAAGTTAGCAAAATATTAATTAAATTAGTGACAAAACCTCTCTCACATCAGAAATTGGAAAGGATCCTAATTAAGTAATATATAGGAGAGACAAAGTCTTAACAGATTATTTGGTCCCTACCATGTTTTTCTTTAACACTCCGATAATGTCTTGATGGTTGCATAGCCTCTTTTTCTGTTTGGAAGCTAGTTTCTTACCCAGTGTATACAGTAATTTATGCATCTCTACGCGGCCACCAATGATATCTATCAGGAACTTGTCTGCTAGATCTTTGATTTCACTACTACCCTTGTCGGGCTCAGAATTGACCAAAGCTGTCACAAACTTATGATTTTCTGATTTGAAGAAACAAGTGACATCAAGAAATGCTTCCTTTTGTTGCTGGCTAAGACCATCGTAACTCACATTCAACACATTGCTTGGACTATGTGCGAGTTGACGTAGCTTGGCTTCCCAGTGAGCCTTGTCTCTACCACGAAGCTCCGGTCCAAGTACCTTGAGAGCTAATGGGTTTCCTCTAGCGTAATCCACAAACTCTCTTGATTGCTTCATCAAACTTTCTTCATGGACTTTGTGGTGACCAAAGGCATGATAACAAAAACACTCCAACCCTTCCTTCTCGTTCAATCCTGGGACAACATAAGTATCATTCACAATATCCTCCACCAATGACTTATCACTTGTCACAATAACAACCTTGCTGCCTTGGCTAATCCACCTTCTGTTTCCGAGAAGATACTCTAGCTGTTTCTTGTTGCTTACGTTATCTAGGACAAGAAAAACATTGCTATCAAGTAGCTCTGTCTCCACGGATTCATGTGTGGTCTCTTCGGTTATCGTCTTATCTGTCTTCTTCAAAAGCTTTCTCAGAAGTCTAACCCGCAATTCAGTAAGCCCTTCTTCCTTTGAGGTTTTATCAATATCATCGAAAAACATTCTTCGATGGAACTTGTTTTTTCCCTCCTCAAACAACTTGTGTGCGATTGTGGTTTTACCAATACCAGCCATCCCAATAACTCCAATAATAAGAGTTTCCTTGGAAATCATGCCATGCATACCTAACTTCTCCTGCAGCTTTTGGAGACGTTGCGTGATCCCGAAGAACTTAACTTTTTCCTTTCTCTCAAGCTCTTCTCCTTCTCCTGGCAAGTTTTTCCCCGTGAGCAAAGAAGATACATCTTGCTTCTGATCACCTTCAGATCTTACCGAGGTATTGACGGAAGCCTTCACCTTCTCCTCCAGTTCGATATTCGTCAACACTTTCTTTACTTCCTTGACGATATTCTCGATGAAGTCACAGTCAGAACTGCAAAAAAAAATCAAGTCGACTAATCAAAACAGGACGATAACTTACAAATACCTCAACAATTCTTACTTTTCAAAAACCGGAAAATCAAATCGAGCTGAGGAGCGGATGAATATTCACATATCCAAAATATTTATGTACAATAAAAACTTAATTTTATTAATTTTAAAATAATTACACATTAAAAAGTAAATTTATAAACCAAAAAAAAATTAGAGAAAATGACTAGAATAAACCTTAAAAAGTTTTTATCACAAATATAGACTTTAACAATTAAAATGACTAAAATAGCACTTAAATGTTTTATTAAATATACATTTATACCCTTGGGTTAACTAATCCTAGATTTTTTGTTTAGAGTTAAGGAGTAGGGTTTTGGGGATAGGGTTTCGAATTTAAAAAAAATTAAAAAACTTAAAATTTTCAAAATAAAAAATGCTATTTTGGTCATTTTAGTTTTTGGGGTCTATTTTTGTGATAAAAACTTAAAATAGGGCTATTTGAGAGAATTTCCCAAAAAATTATGGTATATATATATATATATATATATATATATATCTATTTTTATTTAAAAAGGATTGAAATAACCTAGTTATCCAATATTTTTTTCATAAAATTCTAAATATACCGAATATTTTCATATCCAAAATTACCGGAAAATATCAAACTAGAACCAAATCTAATCCAATCTGGAATCATATTCTTTTTTTTGAATATTAATCTCTAAAAAGTGTGTAAGGCTCCCACATCGGCAATTTTGGTAGGACAAAAAAATATATAAGAAACTTGTGCCACTTCAATTATTGTCAGTTTATTCTAAGTTGGAAACTCAGAAAACTTGACATAGTATCAGAGTTCGATGATGTACCACTATGTGGATGTTGTTCTCATAATTGTCCACACATGAGCTTTTAGATAGAGTGTTAGTGAATAAAATCACACATTGGTAGTTAGAAAAATAATTAACTAACTAGAATTTGATCCGTGATTCGAAAACTTGACATAGTATCAGAGTTCGATGATGTACCACTATGTGGATGTTGTTCTCATAATTGTCCACACATGAGCTTTTAGATGGAGTGTTAGTGAATAAAATCACACATTGGTAGTTAGAAAAATTATTAACTAACTAGAATTTGATCCGTGATTCGAAAATGAGAGTTTTGGTTAGAAAAACAAATTTTGATATAAAATAGTGGTTCGGTTTCGTTGTACATATATTATATTAAAATAGAAATCATGATTCATTTCATGTGTTATTTGGACCATCATTAAAAACATTTACTAAATATATTTCATTAAATCTAATATTTAAATCTTTCTAACTATTTTAATTATAATATATTATGATATCTTTTATTTAAATATAAATCTATATTCAAAATTACAACAAATATGTTGAAAACTATTTTAACAAGATCTTAATTTTTTTCAAAATTATATAAATACTTCACTAATTTTGAATAAGTAAAATATAATTATAGATTAATATATATATTCAGTTATCTTTTATAAAATGAAAATAAAATTATATATTTTTATATATTTTATAATCATTATTTAAAATATTATATTGAAATAAATATTATAAACATAATTTACCATGTTAAAAGAAAATTATTGTATTGAAATTAATATTATTAAATATATTAAGTTGATATAATCTATTTATTTTTAGAAATGGAAAATATTAATACTATAAATATATAATTTATTGGCAGAACGGTTTCACCTAAGTAACTATATAATACATGTATAAAACTAACATATAAACTTTTATATCTAGAATAATATATTATCTGAATAAAATTAAAATTTTGCTAAACGGTAATCCAACTTTGAAACCCGGATCGGAATTTAGTATAAATTAAATATAACATAATTGTCAAAATACAAATTTTTATGCATATATTAATTTATTTAATAGTCAAATTCAAAGCCAATAAGATAAATATATAATAAGAAACGATTGAACAATTGATATTAGCATGTAAACTATAAAATTATCGTATTTGTAATAGTTATAAAAACATATATGACTAATTAACACTATCAATGATGTAAAACAAATATGTATGTATAAAAAATGAAAATAAAACGTGCGCGGTTGGGCGGGTCAAAATCTAATTATTATGTTAAAGTTGAATTTTATCGAAGAAAGAAAATGTTTTTATTTAAAATTATATAATTTATTAGTTTATTTATTTGAGATTTTGTATGTTTCTTACAAGGTCATCATTATAGTTCTGTGTTTATTTTATAAGAGTTAAAACTGTTGAGTTAGTGATACATAAGAATTACTTGCAATTATATTACTGTTAATGTTTTTGAAATTTAGTATTCTTGCAATGTTTATATGATTAAAAATTAATATAGCTATACTATATATTGTGTGTTTCAAAACAAAAATCTAATAATATATATTGAAAATAGTGTTTTATGACATACTATCTTTCAGTTTTGGGTTTTTATTTTAACCACAAAAAAATCGTTCTTAAAATTCTACACAAAAAATAATATTTATTTTCTTTGATATAAAAATTGTTTTTATGATAATTTTATAAAGAGTTGGATTATCGATACTGATTTCAAAATAAGTTACCCAAAAACACATAAAATGTGGCCCAGATTAAACATTGTAAACATTGCCTGAATAAACAGTAATTTTTTAATTCATTTAAAATGAGAAAGAAGCTATGTTTTACATTGGTTGATTACTATTTGGAGTTAAATTGTTAATAAGAAGTAGAACAACCTTATTTTACCTTATTTAAATAAACTTTTTATGATGATTCCATTTTAATAGTATAGATTTATAAATGGTTAGGGTCAATCTACGTATCACTAATTGCTTTTTAGATTAGAAGTCCACTATAAGTTTGAATTTAACATATTAATTAATTAAGTCTCATATTGATGGTTAGAGAAATAATTAGCTAATATATAAAAGATTTAAATTAATCCACTTATTATCAATTGGTTTTAAATGGAAAACTCATGATAAGTCTAATTTTCACAAAGTGAAAATAAATTTATAAGATCTGAACAATCCATATACATAGAAATTCTATAAATTAATAATCGATAAATTAACAAACAATATAAATTAATAAATTTATCTGGTCCCATGTTGAATCGATTTAAAATATGACATAAATCAATAAATAATAAAATAATATATTTTTATAAAATCCTATATAAATATATAGTCCTATTAAAATTATAAATTAATAATTTATGTGTATACACATTTTATATAAGTATGGGATAACTATTATATTTTTTATTTATATTGAAAATGAAACTATCTATATATTTTCTTAAACGTTAATGTATTTTGATGAGATTTAGTAAAATATATCTAAAATTACATTTTAATTCTATGAAATCTATTTTATATACATTATATAATATAATAAACTAATATAAATGTCGAATTTCAAAAAAAAGATTAATGTAAATACATTAAAATCAATCTTTTTGCTAATAAAAATATCTTAAAATAGAAATCTAAAAAAACTTTCTATAAATTAATAAAATACAATAGTCCCACCATTATTAATTTATAAAGTTGTTGTTGTATCTCTAAACCTGAAAGTATCAAAAGAGGAACTAGACCCAAAACGAAATGCCCAGTGTGCACATCTCCATTTGTGTAAAAAGTACCAAAACATATATCAACGAAAAACTTAAAACTACACATACATGTATACAACTATACCTAAACCATAAACTATACGTAAACCATAAACTATCAACCCAAAATCCCAAAATCCCAAAATACATCAACCATCAACTGTGAAACAATAGGAAAAGAAGACTATCCTTTTATCAAATAAAAAAATTGAAGAACTACTCTGAACTCACATATTTTTCCTTTTTTTTAAGGACAAGAGTCTTACTTGTACTCGTCAGATCTCATGCCTATATGCGTCGTAAGAATCTCCAAAGCTTCCTTCACGTTTTTCTCCCTCTCTTCCACTGTCTCTTTTCCTTTTACTCCTTTTGCTTGTTCGCCGACTTTCCATTTGTTCTTCACATCTGCAACTTTGACTTTGTAGAAGATCGGGATGACCTTCCTTCTTGACTCTTTTATGTCCTTAGTCGTCGTGCGCAGCTCCTCGATGCACCAGTTGGACTGCATGTAGTTTTCCGACAAGATGATCAGCACGAGCCGCGACTTTTGGATCCTTTGAAAAAAGATGTCAAGAACTTCACCTTTCAACTCTTTAGTGTCGACATAGTAATTGACGCATCCCCTTTCTAGCTCCTTTTGAAGGAAGCTTACGAAGGTTTTTCGTACGTCTTCTCCTCTGAAACTAATGAACACTTGGTATTGGTGGTCTTTTTCGCCCATGGCAGATCAATTATTTTTAATTTTGGTGCAAATTTGTGAAATGCTTCTAGTAGAATAGATATGAGAAATCAGATGCACCATAAGCTTAAAAATGATGATGTATGTCCTATACATATTTAAAATTTTAATAATTATGTTTATTTGAAAGTCAATCGTGTGAGGTAACATGTGAACACGACTATCAATAATCGTTTGTTATTTTACTTTTAATATCCCCTATATATTAATTGAAAAATATTTGAAAATTTGTAATCTTAAGTTTGTATTAGTTAAAAACTACTATATCCTATGTAGCATCTCTTCTATTTCAGTTTAGAAAAATTCTAGATCATCTTGTATAAAGCATAGTTTTAAAACATAATTTATTGGTCTCATATAAGACATATCAAACTAAATCTTCTATATATTATTTTCATTAAATAAAACATACAGAATTACCCAATACAATTAAGGTATATATAACTATTAGTGATTTTAAATAATAAAGATTTATTAACAATCTGTATTCGTTATATCATTTTTGTATAATTTTATTATTAAAATAATTTACACAACTACACTAATCATATAATAAAAATTTAGATTTTTTTATATATGTTTTATTTTGAAATTTTAAAACGATTATAAATTACTAAAACTGTTAAAAATCTCACATAATCTTTTGTTATCAAAGTCTAAAATTTTTTTTCTATACTAAATTACAACTACTATAAAATCATATGAATAAATAATTTTATTTTAATAGGTGTTTATGTTAATATTTATATATATATATATATCATATCGTATGAATAAATAATTGTATTTAAACATAATTATAATTTAAAATTTAACTTACTTTTTTATAAAATTATATTTTATTTAAAAACATAATTTTCTAATATTATTAGACAAATAAAGAAATTATATTTAATTAGTTTTCAAACTTTATATATTTTAAATGTAAATATTATACTAACTGCTTATTAAGAAAACATTATAGAACTTGATAATGTTCTACTAGTTACGTCATTTGACACTTCGTTTATTTTTCATCATTCGAATACTGAAAAGTGAAAAAATATATACACTAGATCCATTAAATTCTAAGTTTTGATCTACAGTTATAATCACAATTGTTTTTGATCCTACGTATAGATAATTATATAAAAATTCTAAAATTCTAAAATTCTAAAATTCTAAATACATATAAAAATAATTGTATGTAAATTTTAAATTTTTTTGAATACTAAATTTGTATATTTCAATTACATATCCTTAATTCTGTGCAAGACATATATCTTATCATAGTAATAGATTTATTCAAGATATACGATCACACTCAAGGGTTTTTAGTAGTGGCCGACCCAAGATAAAATAATTACTAGGGTCACTATATAAATATAGTTGGGCTTTTTGCAGAATTGACCTGAAACTTGAAGTCAACCACAAAACTAACCTCCCTTTTTTTTGGAACTTTATTTTGCCCAATTCACCCCACAAGTTCATATAATTCACGAAAATGCCATCAAATTTTTTTTTTTTTTTGGTTTCGAAAATAACATATTTACTCTCTCACCCTCATCATCTTCAAGTAATTACAAGA